TGGGCATAATACCTAAAGGTTAATTCATCCAAAAATGAAAATTCTGTCATGATTTACTCCAAACATGTTTGAGTTTCAAACATTCTTCAAAATATCTTCTTTTGTGTTTAACAGATAAAAAGAAATTCATACATGTTTGGAACAACATGAGAGTGAGTAAATGATGACAAATTTTTGTGTGAACTATCCCTTTAAGAGTCTTGGATTTATGTATAACGCATATATGATGTCAATGTTGACTCTTACTTCTGGGATGTCAACAGCATCCTCCTCCTGAAGGGGTTCCATGGTGTTTTCCCTCCATGATGGGACTGAGGAAATATTTTTTTGCATTACAATTTGTAAATCAATGTGTACAACTGCCAGTTTGCATTTGAGCCAAGCACATACTTGCAACATCCTCCTCTTTCTTTGGAGACTCTTCCCGTAATGGAGAGGCTGGAGGTTGCTGCCAGCAGCATAGGTACATCTCAGTTGTTGTCATGAACGGAAGATCTTCCGTTTCTTTGCTGTCTTCTCCCTCTGGCTGCGGGTCCATTTGCCCAGATGACTTAACAACATTTGTCTTCTCTGGGGTCTCCTTGTTTCGTAGGTCACGCTGACATGGTGATGTCCCTCCTGTCTCTAATTTTTGGGGGATCATTTTTGAGGTCTTACCCCTTGACCTCTGATTCTTTGCATCTAACAAGTTGAACTTCCTAGGCAGAGTATTTACAGGTCACAACAGTCAAGCAGAAGCCACAAGAAGACAGAAGAGAAAAATAACAGGAAAGAGTGACTAACAGGAGTATTTCCCAGTCTTACCTCTTTTGCACTTTGCCACTTGACTTAGATGCCTGAGTTTGAGGGCTGTCACCCAAATGTGATTCCCAAAAGTCATCTGTTTCAGGAACCCATCTTTCTAGTGGCTGGAAGAGCCTCTTGTCACGTGGTTCCTTACTTAACAACTGCAAACGGCGCTCCATCCGCTCAATACGGGCAAGCAACTGTTTCAAGGCAGGACAAATACATTAGAAAAAATCATAAGTCTTCCGAAGGAGAAAATGGTTGCAAGTATAAACCATAAACCAATTTTATGCTGCTAAATCAGGGGAAAAAAACAATGTCAAGAGTCAATATCCCACAAACCATGAACTGTAAAGTATCATTCAAAAGTTTGGGGTTGGCAAGATTTTAAAATGTTTTTTAAAATGAAAGAAGGGTCTTATGCTCACCAAGGCTGCATTTATCAAAAATACAGTAAATAGAGTAATATTGTGAAATATTATCACAATTTAAAATATCTATAGTTTGTATTTTAACATATTCTCAAATGTAATTTATTCTTGTGTTGACAAAGCTGAATTTTCGCCAGCCATTACTCCAGTCTTTAGTGTCACATAAACCTTTAGAAATCATTCTAATATGCTGATTTGGTACTCAAGAAACTCATTTCTTATTTATTATCAATTTCGAAAACAGTTGTGCTGCTTAATATTTTTGTGGAAACTGTGATACATCTTTTTCCAGGATTTTTTGATGAATGGAAAGCTCAAAAGAACAGCATTTCATATGTGATCATTTTAATGCATCCATGCTGAATAAAAAAAAGCCTTACCGACCCCAGTGCTTGCATACATACCGTGTCTCTGTCTGATTTGAGTTCATCTATTTCCTTGTCCTTAGACTGCAGCTGTTGCTGTTGTTGCTCTATCAAGTCCAGCTGAAGCAGAAGCAGTTGTTTCAGGCAAGTGGCTTGTGCGTGAGGATGACTGGTGATTTTCCTCATATTCGTCCTTTTGCCCTCTGAGTGTTCATTAGACACCCCCATAGTCTCTAACCCTTTGGCACTTTTCTCACCCACAGGGTCTCTAGAATTACTATGTGAATTCATGGATACAAACTCTGGCTTGTTATCAATGGTGTTTGCTGTTTGTCCCCCATTTTCAGGCTTGAATCTGCACAACGTCCCAACATACGAGTGCGTTTAACGCAGTGCGCATGCGCCATGTCAGGACGTGTTTACATTCAGAATGATGGGTCTTTCCAGCGATATTAAAAGGCAGTGTGCGTATAAAATTTTCTATGCACTAAAACTGAGTACAGTTACTTTAACATAGGTAAACTGGCCAGGATAGTTCTGGTATGGGAACGCTAGTTGTCCGTCTGAGAAAAAATATGGGTATCATGATCATGCTGTGCACACTTGAGGAAAGGACCTTCCCTGCGTCATTTCCTCTGAAGTCTTGCGCTCCGTTCGGTTTATTATTATTATTATTTATTATTATTATTATTATTATTATTATTATCATCAC